CCGCTGCAGCGGCTGCCCCGTTGGTCCCCCACTCCTATACCTGCTCCATGCAGCAGCAGCCACATGAAGTTTTTCGGGGAGTTCTGCATGCAGAACAAGGGTCTATAAGTCCATACCCCTCACTAATGGATTCAAGTCCCCTCTTGTCTGGTTCCTGCCGACCTCTGCTGGGGTCTGGGCCACCCAGAGTGCTATCGTCTTCTCTAAACACACTAAGTTCCCTCCTGCCTCTATGCCATGACACTCCACATGGTCAAGTCTGGAGTGGCCTGTCTCATGATGCACCCTCTGACTCTCCCCAAGCTCAGGCATCTAGCCAGCCTGTCTCCTGAGGACACACCATCCTGTGGCCCTTTGTATTATGTCCACTGACCCCTTTGCTTGCAGGTCTGCCTCCCTGTCTGGGCTTCGGTTCCCTAGAAGTGGAGCCTGAGACAGGGGTCTGGGTTCAAGAGATTTGTTAAGGGCAGGGGTGGCTGTCAGGGGAAATCCATATGTGAGGAGGTGGGCAGGAGAAAAAAGGCACATGGGGGAACGCATGTCAGGTAAAGTCTAAGTAGAGCCTGATCCAAGGGCTCTGCAATATAAACCACACTTCTGAGCTGTCCGCTGGGGTGAAGAAGAAGCCTTTGTGTCCCTGTATCAGCCAGTCACTGGCTATGGGGTGGGAGGTTCATACCTTCTCAGGATTGGTGGCTGCCATCAGCCGGGGTGATTCACAGCACCAGAGGCAGATGTGAGTAGCCGCAGTTATCGTACTTATAGTGAACAGAAAAGACAGGAGAGCGTAACTGCCCAGGTAAAGGTGGGCTGGGATATGTACCTGAAGCCTCCTTTGAGGAAGACGTCTAACAGATTTCTGAATGGGTGAGAAGTATGTGAACTCCTGGCTCATCCAACGCTGGCATCCCCCGGCTACATGGTCCTGCCCACAGCCAGAGGGGGCACAGTTACCACTGTAGGGTCCAGAAAGACATTCAGTCTCCAGGGAAGGGCTCTATGCTGAACCCTGGCCTACTCATTGAACTTCTGCTATGTTCCATGTAGATGGGAGCTTTAGCCAAAGATCTCATCTATCCCTTATAATATTCATTTTACAGATAGGAAAACAGAAGCTCAAAGGAGTGACAGGACTCCAGGTTGGGCATGCAACTATAAGTGGAAGACCTGGGATTCAAACTCTGAATGTCTCCCTGCCTGATTTCTTCCCCACAAAGCATAGAGGATCTGGTAGCTTAGTTTTTTCTGCCCACTGTAAGAGGCTGGTGAGTACAGGTCATCTCTCTGTCCTGAAACTGGGCTCAGCTGAACTCAAAATCCCCAAGGGTCACATCTGGCGTTTGCAGTAGTTGGGAGGCCCACACATATATTTTGCATATAATTTGCATCATGGTTGCATCTGGTTTGCATATGTCCACACTGAGAACCCATCAGCACTGCACAATTTTTAAATTGCTTCTAAGCCACTCTCACTCAATAGAAGCCTATCAGAGCTTAATAGAATCTAGTTTTTATGATTTGTGGACTCTCTGGCCCTCACTTTCAGACTGTGTGTCTGCCTCCCCACTCCAGGGTTCTGGACAAGCCACACTTTTGTCCAGTTGGAAGAGGTTACTGTACACAGCTGCCTTAGAAACTCACGTGGATTTGGAAGTCACCTTTCTTTGATGGTGCACTTGGAATAAAATGCTGAGTGTGCTTTGAGCATGCTGGGATTGGACACAGCACTCCTGCCCAGAACTCCCAAAGGTGGCCTCATGGGCAAGGATGCCCAGGTGTATACTCTTGGAAAAAGGAGACCGGTGAGGGGTGGTGAACAGGGACCAGGGGCTGGATAGTGTGTGCAGCCTGTACCTCACGGCCGCTGGTACCACCGACTGGACCAAGGGGAGCAGGGGCTGAGTTTCTCTGAGCAGCAGAAGGCTCATCTGCCAGAAAACTGGCAGAGTCAGTGCTTTCTATTTCCGTCTCTTTAGGAGAACTACATTCCATAAAAGCGTGTGTTCTTGTGTGGTGAGCCCTGGATAAAAGAGCTGAGACAAAGCCTAGGTGAAGTGAAAGGAACCTGGAGAGGGGAGTGGAACCTCAATTTTGAGAAGCATGGAGGCAGGGAAGGGGCATCCCAGACACATGGGGTGCCAAGCGCCAGGGCCCAGTGCTCGCTTACTGCCAAGCAAGCATCTTCCAGGAACCCGAATTTTCTCTGCCCCTAGGAGCTAATTCTTTCCTTCTGCTCCAAGAGGCCCACAAAGAAAGGCAGGAAGCAGAGGTTCTGTCATGTGTCTCTACTGGGCCAGGGATGGACTGTAAATGCAAAACTTTACTCTTATGTCCATGCAGGATGGTTGTGTCATCCTCCAGTTCTCCTAAGGAAAGACACGCTACATCTGTCACGGGGCAGTGAAGACCACGAAAGTATGTGTGTGTGTGCATGCATACCAGTGACAGAGGAGTGGAGGGTGGGCCAAACGCTGTTCCTGTGTGTGGCCCCTTCGCCTGTCTCTATCCAGGTGGAGAAACTCCAGTCTAAGGCAGGAAGAACATGACTGTCTGCCTCCCTCCCCTGCTGCTGGCCTCCCTAGGTTTCCTGTCTGGCAGATGCGAAGTGGCCTCATCACCCACGGGGAGACCCCAGGCTCTGGCTGCATCTAGCCAAGACCCTAAGCATCACCCTCTGCTGACATCCTCCGCCTCCACCAGGATGGGGCCCAGGCCCTGGCTCCCCAAACTGTTCCAATTAAAGAGGGAACATGGTTTTGATGTCAGCCACCTGGGAAAGGGGGAGGTGGAGTCTAGCTGTCCTTCCAGCCCCCTGTTACATAGACATTTCCCACTTCAAGCAGGGTCCAGCCTCCTTCCTGTGAGTTGTGGGCCCCACATCTGGGGCTGGGGAAGGGAGTGAAAGGAAGGGGTGGGACCCCTTGGAAAAAGATCACAGCTTCTGGGGTGGGGGAGATTTCTCCCAGAACCAGCTGGGCGGTGCTGCCAAGCAGTCAGAAACCAGCCTCTGAAGAGGAGCCGAGCTCTATTCCTTTCCCCCTCAGATATCTGTCTGCAAACCAGAAAGTTAGTGGTTACAAGATCAAGAACATGTTATGGATACTATGTATCTGCCCCCAGCAAAATGACTCATAGCATCTCTGTTCACAGTTATAGAAGAGAACATTCCAAGGGGGCGTAGGTAGGGTGCAAGACTCCTTTAAGCATCATTTGCTTGCCTAATCCAGTCAAACGAGCTCAAATGGTAGACAATTGGAAGCAGCCAGGGAAAGCCATGGCTTGTCACCAGATGAGTGTATATTTCAGCCTGAGTTCCACAGCCCCCTCTCAACTCTCCTCTCCCTGGCCAAGCCTCCATCTCAGGTCCCTGAAACCCCTGCAGAGCCGTGGCTTCAGTGTGCCGTGGTCCTCTCACTACCCGCAAAGGCCCCTGTAGGGGACTGAACAGAGCCCTTGCCCGCAAAGTTCACATCCCCTGGAATTCCAGCATGTGACCTTCCTTGAAAATAGGAGCTTTACCAATATAGTTACTTAGGATAAGGTTAGGATGGGCCCTAAATCCAGTGACCGCTGAATTTAGAAAAGGACACACAGAGGAAAAAGCAGTGAAGGTCGCCATGTGCAGATAGAGCAGGGGGAGGTTGGAGTGATACAGCTACGAACCAAAGAATTCCAAGGATTGCCAGGAGCCACCAGAAGCTGGAAGAGGCAAGCAGATTCTTCGCAAGAAAGGACGGGAATGTGGCCCAGCTGACACCTTGATGCTGACTTATATACTCCAGAATTAGGGGACAATAAGTTTCTGTTGTTTTAAGCCTCTGAATTTGCGGTTGTTACTACAACCCTAGGAAATTAATGAAATCCACACCTGGAAGCTGGATTCCCTTCAACCTCTGTCCCACAATTTCAAAGCCCAGGAGAAAGACAACCAGTCTGGCTTTGGTCGGGTATCTGTGCCCAGGAACTCAGAAGCCACTGAGGCTGGAAGAAGGACAGGGCATGGAGGGGGGCTTCAGAGCTGCCCCTTTTATATCTGTGTACCATCACCTTACCCCAAAGCTGTTTATTCACCTCTCAAAGTTGGTTTACAAAGGTCTGTCCAGACAGGCCAAGAGTCCTATAATTCTATACTCCAGCCAGCCACCTGCGTGAAGACACATGGCTGCAGGCACCCGTGGAGATGAGACCAAGACAGGAAGTGCCACTCCGCTGAGTGACAGAATCAGGATTCCAAAGGCGCCTGACAGATTGGAAAGTTAACAAGATCGTGTTGAATGAGGATGACTGCAAAAGACAACTCTTGGATGCTCAGTAAATCTCAGAAGTGAAATAGGAAGGAAGACTGGCTTAAGACAGCCAAGACCTGAACGTTTTCTTCATCCAAATGCTGGTAACAAGCCGGAGCCAGAGCCCTGGGGGAGAAGCAGAGCATTTTTGTCTGAGCCCGAGAGACGATGGGCATCTGCATCCCATGGAGACTGGAACAGCACTGGTCCCATCAGAGAAGCAGAGGGGCGGCCTGGCCACCAAACTGGGTTGCACAGGCTGCTGGGGAGAGGAGTAGGGGCTTATCAGATCTCGTTCTCACCCCAAACAATGATGAGCGAGGAGACAGAGGCAGCCAATCAACAGGGACAGTCTGGGGTCAAGTCCAAGAAGATGATGGGGTGTGGTGCTGGTACGCCCCAAAACAGGAACATCTAGGCTCGGGAGCCCTGGCCCCTGAGTGCACGCGGACTTTTAAGCCCAGAGCATCTTGTTGTACCTTGAGAGCCCGTTACCCAGGCCGACCCAAGGGGTCAGCATCTCTGCCTCTCCTCTGGTATCCGTGAGCCAGCGATAGAGGTAGTAGCTGGGCGTGTCGGGGGGCCTCCGAGGGCGCGGCGGCCTGCGCCCGCCACCCGGGGCTGTCCCCTTCTTAACTCTTGCTTTCAGACGGCCCCTTGGGCGCCAGCTCCGAGCTGGGGCAAGGGGCTGGCGGGGGAGGAGGGGGCTGGCGGGGGAGAGCGGCGGCGCGGGCCCAAGTTTATGCTAATCCGCGCAGAGCCCGCCTCCCGCCTCCCCTCTGCGGCCCCAGCCACGAGCAGCGCCGGCCACTCGGCGGGACGCAGCCACCGCGAAGCGCCAGGCGGCTAAGTGAGCGAGTTTCGGGGGCCGCGAGGGGCTGTGGGAAGCCGGCCGGAGAGCTGAGGTGTCGGCGTGGCGGGCGCACACTCACGGGGGCCACCGTCCGGGGCCAGGTGGAGACGCGGTGGCCGCGATGGGTCGCCGCCGCCTGCCGGTCTGGCTGTGCGCCGTCGCGGCGCTGCTCTCGGGGGCGCAGGGCAAGGGCACGCCGCTCCTGGCTCGGCCGGTCCCGCCCAGCGCCGCCCGCTACAGCCTCTACACGACGGGATGGCGCCCCCGGCTGCGCCCGGGGCCGCACAAGTAAGCGCGGGCCGTGCGGCGGGAAGCGGGAGGGACGGGGTAGCGAGCGCCGCCTCTCCCACCTGCGCAGACCCTCGTGGGCCATCGAGGCCCGGGGCACCAGAGGCCGCGGCGTGGAGGGGCGGTGTCCGGACTGAGCCCGTGCCGGGGCGGGCGCGCCGTGCTCCAGGAGGCAGCGGGGCTGGCGAAGAAAACTAAACCAAGGGGGCCTGGAGCGGCGGCTGAGATCCTGGCAGTGCCCGCGGAAACCTTTCCAGCGAAGTAACATTTTCCAGCTAGGCAGAGTGCAAACTGTGGGCGCAGCGGGCCAGGTGGAGGGAGCGGAGCAAGGGCGGTCTGCGCGGGGGAGCACGCGGGGAGCACGCGGGGCTTCCCCGCACCGCCGAGGCCTCCCATCTCTCCTCTGCTCCTCAGGGTAGGAGATGGAGCCGTGCACCCGGATCTCCGCTCCTTTTCCTGAGGCGACCCCGGTCCTAGCAACCCCTAGGGAGCCCCGAGCTGGTGGAGGCCACAGAGCTGGTGGAGGTACCGGAGTCCCAGTCCGGTATTCTGGAAGTGGCAGGCGGCCTCAGTGGTCCGCTCGGGCCCTTGAACTCGAGCGGTGTTGTGGGAGAGTGCTCAGCCCATAGCCAACACGCAGCGTGCTAGGGCGCCTCAGACCAAGCAGGCTTCCTGGAGGAGGCGCAAGACCTGGTCTGATCATCACGGGGAGGAAAGAGGAGAAGCTTGATCTCCAGGGAGCCACTAAGTTGGGGTCTCAGAACTTCACAGGCACAGATGAGGCATTTGGAACCAGTGAAGGAGGTGGAGGCTGGGAGGTGTGGCAGGCGCTTGAGGGAGAATCCAGGGTGGTCTCTTCCCCAGGCTGGGAGGGCAGCCATACCAGGGTTCTAGTTTGGTATGGCTCCAAGCCCAGTGGCAGCCTCTGAGGATGCAAAGGTCAGAATGTCAGCAGTGGAGCTGGGCCGGGCCCAGAGTATTGTGGATTCCAGGCAAGGGCCCTGTCTTTCAGGGACAAGGAGAAGATAGAAAGAAATGGGAGTCTGGTACCCACTGAGACCAACAGGTAGAGGATAGAGGGTAGGGGCCTCAGTGGGCCTGACTCAGGCCAGATATTCCAGGAGGCCGCTTTCCCTCCTAGGGCCCTCTGTGCCTATGTTATGCACAGGAATGTGACCTGCGTCCTACAGGAGGGAGCAGAGAGCTACATAAAAGCTGAGTTCCGGCAGTGTGGATGGGGGCCCAAGTGCCCCGGGACAGTCACGTGAGTGCACCCCCACCCACGCGCTTGGGAGCCCCGAGCATGAGCCCCATTTCTGCCTGCAGCGGGGAGCAAAACCACCAGTGCTGCAGCCCCGGCACTTCACACCGCTCACCTGAGCATGAGATGGGACCAAGGCCCCAGATCCCCTAGGTTTTGAAGTTGTGGCAGGGGATCAGCCACAGGAGGATGAGGGGCATGTGGAAAGGGAAGAAGCAGCACCCAGCTAAGAGGAAGGGACAGAGGCAGAGGGTGGAGGAGGGGGAGAACCAGGGGTCACTCAGGCGGTGGTGGATGCCACGAGGTGGGGGGGCAGGGCAGATCCAAGGAGGGCTGTGGTGACCACGAGAGGGGGAGCCAGAGGGCTGGGGCTTAGGCCAGACAGGCAGGCGGCATGGGCGGGGGTGTTGCCCAGAGACAGGATGCACAGGTTTGCACTTGGAGAGGCCCATGTGCGCATCTGGAAATAGATCTGTTCTCCACTATGTCAGAGGGTGAACAGGTGAGGAGGGGTCCCTGGTGAGCTCTTCTGTACGTTTAGGTCTTCCCCTCTCTGCTGAAAATCAGGGGTGCCCTCCCACCAGCCTGAGACCAGAGCTGGAGTCCTAGAATAGGCTAAGAGGAGTGGACGGACCTACAAAGGGCTAGTGGGAGTCAAGAATGGCTGCAAGACAGTGGGAGGGACCAGCAGCCTCAGCTCCAGGGCAATACTCCTTCCCATCCACAGGGCAGGGCTTGGGGCTTTGTTCTCTAGGGTACTACTTGGGGCTCAAGTGGAATTTCTTGTGGCAACATGAACTAAAAAGGGTCCACGTGGTCTTGGGAGCATTGGCGCTCAATCTTTGCTAGACTTCTGCCCAAGCAAACAGGATGGATGGGGTTCCTACCTACATCCTCCACTCAGTGGCCTTAGAGTCCCTGGAAGGCCTGCCCCCACCACACTACTCTGTCACCTTCAGCACCAAAAACAGAAAACCCCTGGGGTGGTGTGGAGGTGGGGAAAGAAACAAACTTTATGCAGGCATCTGAGGTTGACCCCAAATGCCCACCAGGGGACAGGACTCAGCCTACAGGTGTAAGATCCTGCTCTCTCACTCCCTGGCTCAGGTACCGAACGGTGCTCAGACCCAAATACAAGGTTGGCTACAAGACAGTGACAGAACTCACCTGGCGTTGCTGCCCTGGCCTCACTGGAGAAAGCTGCCCCGAGCACCTCACGGATCATGGGGCCACCCCACCCCGGCTGAATCCTGAACCCCAGATTCCCTCAGGGCAGGTGGGCTCAGGTCCCAGGCCCCCTCCTCACAGCCAAGCAGACCCTAATCCCCACGGTGAGTCTGACTCTGGATACCCTCCAAGGTACCCAGGTCTCTTGGGTGGTGACAGGGGCAGGGAGGGGACAGACCCAAGTTTCGAGGTCTGGCAGGGTTGGGGAGCCTGTGTCTCACAGGAGTATGCAGATGGGAAGTTGTGCCCAATGAAAATGTAGGCCTAGAACAGGAAGTCTCTTGGGAATGTAATACCCTGAGAGGGCCAGACCATTGATACTCCTGAGATCTCTCATCCTCTTTCCAGGAAGGAAAGGCCTAGGGCTGTTTGGCGAGCGCCTGGAACGCCTGGAGGGTGATGTTCAGCGCCTGGCACAAGCATATAGTACCCTCAGTGGCCTAGTGGCCAGCCATGTGGACCCCAACAAGAAAACTGCAGTCCCCAGGGTTCCTGCTGCCCCTGTGGGCTTTGATGTCATCCCTGAGGGGCATGTGAATCCAGCAGACAGAGCAGGAGGACCACTCACGCCTCCCCTTGGTGAGATCCTGAGCAAGGTAACAGAAGTGAGCAACACGCTGCAGACCAAGGTGCAGCTGCTAGATGAGGTGCATGGACTTGCCCTTGGCCATGAGGCCCACCTGCAGCAGCTGCGGGAAGCCCCGCCATCCCCGCTGACCTCCCTGGTATTGCTGGAGGAATATGTGGACCAACGGCTGCAGCGACTCTGGGGGAGCCTCCTGGATGGCTTCGAGCAGAAGCTGCAAGGTATCCAGAGTGAGTGTGACCTACGGGTGCAGGAGGTTCGGCAACAGTGTGAGGAGGGCCAGGCGGCCAGCCGGCGGCTACACCAGAGCCTCGATGGCCGGGAGCTGGCCCTGCGCCGGGAGCTGTCACAGCTGGGCACTCAGCTGCAAGGCTTGAGTGTGGCTGGTGGGGGCGGTTGCTGCAGCCAGCTGGCCTTGGTCAGTGCCCGTGTGGACAGCCTTGAGAAGAACCTGAGGGCAGTTGTGGAGGCCCACAAGGGCCCCGGCACCCCAACCAGGGATGAGCTTGACCAGCTCTCTGCTGCCATGCTTGAGGGAGGTGTGGATGGGCTGCTTGAGGGCCTGGAGACCCTCAATGGGACAGAGAATGGAGCGAGGAGCTGCTGTCTGAGGATGGAGATGGGGGGCTGGGGTGTGGGTGGCTTCGGGTCCATGCTAGAAGAGCGTGTGCAGAACCTAGAGGAGCGCCTGGCAACATTAATCGGAGAGCTAAACCATGACAGCGTCCCACTGGACAGGTCCATGCGGCCCCTTGTGCCCACAGAGCTGGCCGTGCTAGAACAACGATTGATCTCCTTGGAGACCTCATGCACCCCCAGTACCACTTCAGCCACCCTGGACAACCTCGTGTCGGAGGTGAAGGCCTGGAAGAGCCGGAGCGAGGCCCTCCTACACCAGGTGGCCAGCCACACAGCTCTGCTACAGCAACTCAATGGCACTGTGGCTGAAGTCCAGGGGCAGCTAGCAGAAGGGACAGGCAGCTCACTCCAAGGTGAAATCACTCTACTGAAGGTCAACCTGAACTCAGTGAGCAAGTCACTCACGGGCCTCAGTGACTCTGTCAGCCAGTACTCTGATGCCTTCTTGGCTGCCAACACATCTCTGGATGAGCGGGAACGCAAGGTGGAGGCTGAAGTCCACACCATCCAGGAGCAGGTCAGCAGCCAAGGCTCAAGGCTCCAGGCTGGCCACAGGCAGACCCTGAACCTGCGGGGGGAGCTGGCACATCTCAAGGCTGGCATGGCCAATGTGGCCAGGGGGCTGAGCCGCTGCCAGGACACAGCCCAAGAACTCCAGCGTGCCGTGGGCCACTTCGACCAGCGGGTGGCCCAAGTGGAGGGCATGTGCAGGAGGCTCGGCCTGCTGGCTGCCAGCCTGGACAGCTTGCCCACCGAGCCTCTTAGGTTGAGGGAGGGCCTGTGGGGCCACATGGACCAGCTGAATCGCACACTAGCCCAGCACACAGAGGACATCGCCCGCCTCCGAGATGACCTGCTGGACTGCCGGGCCCAGCTGGCTGAGCAGGCAAGGCTAGGGCAAGCCGACTAGGCAGGCTGGAGAGGATCCAAGCCCCAAATCACCTCAACCCTGGGAACATCATCCCAGAGCCCAGTCCTACCCAGCCTCCCTGGACCAGCCCAGTTGCCACTTCAGAGGCCACTGGGCCAATGGTCTTAGTCCAGCTTCATATGACCATCCTGGTCATCAGCGCGGCACGAACTAGACAATTCAGGATAGTGATCAAGGCGAGGCTGTCATGCGTGAAGGCCAGGATGCACTCAGAGAACACACATTCCATGGTCTGCAACTCGCTTTTTTAGACACATCAGAGTTAGCAACTGTGCAAGTTCCTTGTACCCGTTGTCAGATGGGCCTGTCCACAGCTCCCCTTGCACAAGGGGTCGTGTCAGCCCTTGGAGATTCCTGTTCTCTTGTCCCTTGGCTTCTACCCACAGCCATTTGGACGAGGGTTCTGCTGGAAAGTGGTCCCCACTGGAACTATCCCCACACCTGGCAGCTTCATGGATGCTGTTTCTGAACCAAGGACCAGAAGCCACTAGAGACTTCCAGCTCCGCACACATCCTTTAGAACTGAATGGAAGCCCAGCGACCCAGCTGAGAGTTTTCTTTATCCTTCTGCTCCTCCGTCAAGGTGAGGGCTCAGGCAGCTGTAGACTCCTAGCAGAGTTAGATCCAGGCAATCCGTTTGGAGACCCGTTTGTTTTTTTCTTTTCCTTCCCCAAAGACGTTTTCAGGACACTGGTCCTCTTTCCAGTTGGGGAAAAATCACCTGTGTTCCTCCAGGTCAGTACCTGTCTCCTATGTGTGGCCTTAGTGTATATCGAGGCCTAAAAGTCAGACCCTGAGAAAGCCATAGCTGGAGGAAAAGGGGTTCAGGCCTTGCTGTTAACACTCTTACAAAACCCCAGTCCTGCAAAGATGATCACAAGGTGATAATTCAGGTATGACACCATCAAGGCACAACTGGAAAAATGCAAGTGTTCCTCAGGCCTACGCAGTTCCACCTGCGCCGAGGCTCTCGGCCTTAATTTCCCTCACAGTGGCATGGGCCTCCTGTGCCGTTGGCAGCAGGCTTCTGAACATTCCGTGCTGTGCCCTCTACTCTGGTGCTGTGGGAGGAGGGCAGGTTCTGGATTAAAGCTTTCAGCCGGTCTAGAGGTGCTTTTCTTCATCAAAGGCAGTGTGAGGCAAGGCTGCTGGGGGTGTCGCCCCGCGCCTCGGGAGAGCTGATTCTCAGAGGCGGTCCGCAGACACTGCACTGACTCTCAGAGGCGGTCCGCAGACACCACCTGCCATGGCTAGGTTTGAGTCAGTCCTCAAGGAACATGCTGAGAGTACCAGGGCAGTGGCAGGCAGCATTGGGGCAAGCAGGAGCCACATCGCCTTTCCCTGATGTCAGAGGGGCCCTGGAGCATCCAGACCTAGGGCTGATACCAGGGCACCAGTGAGGTGAGGCAAGGATGCCTGGCTCAGGAACTGTGGGCAGGGGCAGGGTCATGGAGGAGCTGCTTTTCATGGTGCAATCTCGGGTCCCAGGCTTGAGCACTGTGTTCCTTCCCGATGTCACTCAGCTACACCCTGCTGCCTTTGACATTCTCTTCCCTATGCATCTAGGCCTCAAGTCTCAGTGAGGCCTTCCTCTTCGACCTGTTGAGTTGAGGTAAAGTCCCAGGGTGGCAGAGACAACAGACAGACACATCAAAGACAAAGACAAACCCGGCAAGAGCCTAGGTGACAAAGTTTTTTTTTTTTTTTTGTAGTGCTGGAGATAGAACTCAGGGCCTTACACTTGCTAAGCTATATCCTCAACCCTTTCTATTTTATTTTTAGACAAGGTCTTACTAAGTTGCCTAGGCTGGGCTCACTGGCAATCCTCCTGTCTCAGCCTTCCAAGTAGCTGGGATTACAGGCATGTGCCAGCATGCCCGGAAGTGCCATGCTGTTACAGGTCAAGGCCACGCTGAGATCTACAACAGCTGCCCTAAACCCTTTGTCTGGAACATGGGGGTCTCTGTGGCTACAAATCTGTGTGTAGCCCCTCCTCCTCTTCAGGGGTTAGAAGCCTGTTGCACCTCCAGACACCCAGTCCTAGAGCAGGCAGCTGGGGCTGGCTTAGGCCAGGGCATCAAGGTCCACAGCAGGTACTGGCTGTCGCCAGTAGCGGAAGTTACTGTATTCGGGGTTGATCAGGTCTGTGGTGGGGCCACGGGCCACAGGCGGGAAGAGGAGCTCAACCACCTCTCCAAGCCGGTCATACCTACAGGCAAAACAGGGTGGCACTGAGCCTGAGCCATTGTCAGACCTTGGCCTCTGCCACAGCAGGCAGCGGCTCAGGATCTTACCAGGAGAGGAGGTAAAATTGGCGCCAGGAGGGGCCAAGGCAGGGGGACATGGGGGGGGGACAGGGGCCATGTGGCAGGGTTTGGCCTCACGTGGATTTGTGGTTCTTCATGAGCTCCTGGATGAGTTCTCCCCGGGGATTGACTGTGAAGATGCGAGATTCAGGTAGGCCTACCTGTCGATAGGCGGAGACATCCTGTGGGAAAGAAGGACACAGGGGGTAAAACTGAGGCCACTGGGGGCTGGGGAGCAGGCGTCAGCCCGTGGGAAGAGGGCACACTCACACTGGGCCTGTTCCCAAAGGCAGCATAGAAGGGCTGTCCATGGGGCAGGAATAGCTGCTGGATGTCACTCAGGCAGGCAACCTTGAATACCTCTGGCTTCTTCTCGATCACCTCCCTGGAGTAACCATGGCCATAGGCAGGGAAAGGGCCAGAGGAGGGGCAGCAACCAGAGGGGGCAGGGGCAGGTGACGGCCCCAGCTCACCCGGGAACAAGTGCTAGACTGGGCTGGCCATGCACCTGCCCCTCCCCACAAGGACCCTGGGCTTGGGTATGGGGTGGTTACCTGTGGAGGGCAGAGAAGAGGCTGCTGGGAGACAGCAGGATGGGGCCCTTGGGGAGGCCACAGCCACCCTCGCTCACCCACTGCAGGTACCCTTTGGTGAGGTCAGCCATGCCGATGGCCCGCGCTGAGCAGTACAGAAACTTGTACCCATTTCTGTGGGAGGGGATGAGGTGGCCCAGCGTCAGCAGAGATTGGCCACTCCTACCCTACCCCCTGGCTTTGGCTTTGGCCAGCCTAGCCCAACCCTATGGTTCTGGCCTTCATATCCAGAGGGCTTTGCAGGGAGGACACTTGAGGAAAACGGCAAGACCAGGCCTGGAAGAGATGGCCTCAATGGCTGTCCCTACTAGGAGAAGCTCAGGCACATTCTTGAGGCCCAGTGGGTCAGCTCCCCCGCCCCAGGCTCAGACCAGCAGGTAGATAGCTCACAGGAGAACCAAGGACCAGGAAGAGGGTCTCAGAGCTTCATGGACCTGCCAAGTTGACCCCTTTGTGGCCCCTGTTGGTCCCTAAGCTTGGCTTCCCAGGGCAGAGGTCAGGGTGGCCGAGGACATCCTGTTACCCACTCCTTCAACATGGGGGCCCTGCCTCAGTCCCATCCTGGCACTCACAGGTGGATTTTGTGGTACAGACTGATGATGCCTTCATGTGTCCAGTCTTTCCCCAGCTGGGGCAGAATGTGACCCAGAGCATCCGACCTGCAGTCAGAAAGGAAAGGTCACTCTGAGGCTGTCCTACATGGCCCTCATGCTCCATGAGTGTGGCCCAATAGGGCCCAACCTTCAGCTCTAGGACAGCCTGCTGTAAAGGAGGGCCTCCAAAATGGTCCCCTGCCCCTCCACACAACCAACACAGAAAGAGGTGAGTTCCCAGACCCTCCCTGCCCGCCTCGTGGTCAGCAGGGCCTCACTTGGTGATGGTGCCATCGATGTCAGAGATGATCACTTTGTCATCCCAGTTCCACAGGTAGATGGTGGCCTTGCAGCGGCAGGTGCCCTGGTACTGGGTGGTCACGCTGAAGACCACATCATTGGCACCTTCATGCAGGTTCAGGCGCCACTGGAGCCAAGCAAGGGGGTGAGGGGTTGTGATCTGCCACAGCCAGGCATTGTCTATCTCCTGTGGCCTTTGACCCTCACAGGCCCCTCATTCTCCTCTTCCAGTACAGAGGCCATTCCTAAAGGGTCTGAAGACAGCCACACACGGACCCACAAGGGCACAGGGTATCTTTGCTGATCTGGGCTCTACACAATGTTGGCATAAGAGCCCCAAACCCCGCCCACTCCCTTAGGATGTGACTCTCAGACAAGCCACATCTGTGACTCCCTGCCCAGGTTTCCAAGGTGATCCCAATGCTTGGGTTGTTCTTAGAGAGAGAGACCCCACTCTATAGATGGGATCCTGTGAGATCTTCACAGGAAGGCCCTGCCTGGGGCTGGGGTACTTGACTTAACATTCCCTTAAAGAAAGACCCAGTCCTCTATGTGGGCCACAGAGCAGGATGAGGGAAACAGCTCTCTATCAAAGCTAAGTAACTTCTAACCGCTGGCTAATCCTGAAGTGGGGGTGAGCCTCAGAGTACCAGATCGATGGTAGATGCTGTGAACCAGGCTGCTCAGACCTCCCTGGACATTTCCCTGACCTGGGTACCACACTCAGGAGGAAAACATTCTTTTTACAGGAGCCACTGGGTTACAAGCTTAGGGAACTCATAGCTTGGAGGACAGGGGTTGCCTAAGTCTGAAGGGCTAGTATCAGCATTGGACTCTTCAGGTTCCAAGGGCAGACCCAGAACCAGCTGGTTCACTGCAGGTAGATGTCTCAGTCAAAGCATTCCACAAAGATCTGGGTTGGTGTGGAAGCAGTGAGGCCCCTGTCCCTGTTGTATCCAAGCAGAAGCTGTTAGGGAGCATGCCCAGAGGATGCATTCTGGCCTTTGGTGACCGGTGCTTCAGCTTGGCCCTGAGAGACTGGCACATAATTAGCTTAGCCCTGCAAGGAGGTTCAACTCACCCCACAAGTGTGCACTTACAATCTGATCAGAAGAGAGGCGGAGGGACTTCTTGCAGGTGGGACTGCGGACTGGAGTCAAAGGTGGTAGGGAGGGGGCCTCCAGGATCACGGGGCTGTCCGGGGCATCATCATCACTGCTCGGGACTTCCGTCTTCTCCCTGCGGGCAGCACCCACACTCAGGTCACCTCCCCGGCAGAAGGCCCATCATTTGAAGTAGCTGTTCACTCTCCTTAACAGTGGCAGCCCCGTGTCCGGGCCAGGAGGCTGAGCACCTGTTCCAGTTCTGCCATTTCCTGGCTGAGGGACATTTACTATGTCTCTAGATCTCAATTCTCCCATCTGTGCAGTACAGACATGTTTCAGGCAAAAGAAGGACTTGAGGAGTGACAGAACCTCAGCTGGAGAAGGGGTGCAGCTCCCTATAGTGGTCCTCCCCAGGCTCCAGCTGCACAGCCCTGCTAGGAGCTCCAACTCACTGCTAGGAGCTGCAACTCACCCTTGCCGCTCCCTGGTTGTGGATTTCTCTGTCTGGACACCATGCTGTGAAGGAACATCCATCAATGCATTCATCCTCCTGTCCTGTGCTCGCCCAGCCTCATGTCCATGACCACCCACCTGCTCTGCTGGGAAATCCCTTCTTCGCCAGGAAAACCACCACCGCCCGCCTTTCCGGGGCATCTTCTCCTTCTCCAGCTTGTCCACAGTGCTCTGTGGGAAAATGAAGGCTATGGCAGTTCAAACCTACCTTGCATTCCCCATGTGTACCCCATGAATCCAGTGTCAGGGCCAACCCTAAAGCAATACACTGTCAACATGCACAGGCTGAGGAATCATGTTCACCTCCCTTTAGGGATTCCAAGCGATGACTCATGAAGCTTTGCACAGGAGACTAAGGTTATGCTTGTTCCTCAGCGCTGACCTCCTATCTCCAGCCCAGTCCCTGCCTGGCCTCCAAATGTGGGTCAGTTCCACATAGAGTAGCTGAAGGTAGGTAGTGCTGCTCGGCGAGTTTCTTAACAACTGGTATTCCATGCATGATACTGCCAGGCGGAAGCAAGGAGCGTCTATAGCTGGAATACCCCTCAAACTCCAAGCCAGACATAAGCCAGCCAGCAAACCTCTCCCCTGAACAGCCTCCGCCTCTGTATGTTCCCACTACTATCTGATTGGGGCAGCAGGACCTTGTGAAAAATGCTGATCAGACCTGTGCTAGATGACCCCAGCAGGAGCCCA